CCCCCAGTCCTCATCCTCCTCCTTCTCCTCCTCCTCCTCCTCCTCCTCCTTCTCCTTTTTCTTCTCCTCCTAATCATTCCTCCTCCTCAGTCGTCGTCGTCCTCCTCCTCGTCCTTAGTCCTCGTCCTCTTCAGTATTCCTCCTCAGTCCTCATCCTCATCATCCTCCTCTTCAGTCTTCCTCCTGAGTCCTCCTCCTCGTCCTCCTCCACCTCCTCATTCCCCTCCTTATCCTCCTCCTCTTCAGTCCTCCTCATCCTCCTCCTCGTTCTCCTCCTTATCCTCCTCCTCCGCAGTCCTTCTCCTCAGTCCTCCTCCTCCGCAGTCCTTCTCCTCCTCGTCAGTCTTCCTCCTCGCCAGTCCTCCTTCTCCTTCTTCTCCTCCTACTCCTAAGTCCTCCCCCTCCTCCTCAGTCCTCCTCCTCCCTCTCATCCTTTTCCTCCTTCTCCTCCTTCTCCTCCTACTCCTAAGTCATCCTCCTGCTCCTCAGTCCTCCCCCAGTCCTCCTCCTTATCAGTCCTTCCCCAGTCCTCCTTCTCCTCCTCCTCATCCTCAATCCTCCTCCTCATCATCCTCCTCAGTCCTCCTCCTCCTCAGTCCTCCCTAAGTCCTCCTCTTCCTGAGTCCTCCCCAGTCCTCCTTCTCCTCCTCCTCATCCCCTCAGTCCTCCTCCTCAGTCCTCCTCGTCCTTAGTCCTCCCCAGTCCTCCTTCTCCTCATCCTCAGTCCTCCTCCTCAGTCCTCGTCCTTCTCCTTTTTAACAGTCTTCCTCCTCGTCCTCGCTCTCGTCCTCCTCCTTCTCCTCCTTCTCGTCTTCCTCCACCAATCCTGCTCCTCTTCCTCAGTCCTCCCTCTCCTCTTCAGTCCTCTTCCTCCTCAGTCCTTCTCGGTCCTCCTCTTTCTCCTCAGTCTTCCTCCTTCTCCTCCTCCTCCTCAGTTCTCTTCCTCATCCTCCTCCTTCTTCTCTTCCTTCTCCTCCTAATCAGTCCTCCTCCTAATCAGTCCTCCTCCTCAGTCGTCCTCCTCCTCGTCCTTAGTCCTCGTCCTCATCGTCCTTAGTCCTCGTCCTCATCCTCCTAGTCCTCGTCCTTAGTCCTCGTCCTCATCCTCCTAGTGCTCGTCCTGGTCCTCCTCAGTCTTCCTCCTCTGTCCTCCTCAGTCCTCCTTCTCCTCAGTCCTCCTCCTCCTCATCAGTTTACACAATTTATTGTTACTAAAATGTTTTTAAACGCATTTGAGTCTGTAACATATTGACATGTTACTGTTACTGACTCAAAATGTGCTCGAGAATTTTTTTGTTTAATAGAGTTTTACTCTCCAGTACTATGGAAAAGTTGTTACATGATAAATAAAGATTTTGATAAATAAAGTGATTTTCATCCCTTTTAATGTTATTGAAAATTGTGTAGACTATTCTTTGTATCTAACTGAGGATTGGAAGTTTGAGAAAGGACCAGTCATTAACCGTGCTACCCATTTCTGCAGATAGCCTGTTACAAATTGTGGAGACAAATTGTGGAGACAATTTAAATCAAAAGTTACTAAAGCGTTCGCTATTTGTTACGATTGTTATTACCAACCGTACCTCTTTCAATTGTGGACCGGGGTGGATGTTTCTGTCAAACAAGAGTTGATTCGACATTGTGTTGTTTTTCGGACGAAACGATTCTTGTTTGGAACAAGATACCATTTTGGAGTTCTGGGACCACCACCAATCGATTTCTTGTCATATTTAAGTACAGAAATAGCTACCTATATCGCCTAGAAACCTCAGAGGGAAGATTTAAATTTTCCCGATTTATCCGCTATGAGGGTTGATGAGGCCAAAATCGGGATCGGAATGATCGGAATTGATCGGGTTGGACCCCCCCCCCCCCAATGTGTAATCAAGCTATCAAGGATGATGGTAAGTGTTGTGGGGTGTGTCATAGATGAACGCTTAAGTGGTGGTTGAGTGTGGAAGAGAGAGGCGAACTAAGACGATGTTTGAGTAGTCGCTATGTTACACCGGTCTGGTCCAGCTCCTCTGGCAACACTAAGCGTTTAGTGTGGTTTGCAAAGTTGACGATGGTGGAGATGTGTTGGTTGTCGAATATGTCATCGACGGAGAGGTAGTAAAAATATAATGTAATTAATAGAAAACATTTCAGCACCCATCATGTTCTTTATAATCTCTAGCAATGTAACACTAAAAAAGTTGTATGACCTCCACAAATAAAATGTGGCAATAGAAATGTGGCAATATAAATTATGGGTAGCTCGGCAATGGTGCCCGGTTGGCTAGACTCAGAACAGCTGAACATGTTAGATTTCATATGGGTTAGTAAAACCATTAACACCTTCTTTTAAGAGATTAAGTAGTTGGTTGTATCGACCATGAGTAACACCTCCTGACAGGGGCAATTCTCATTTCGCACCTTTAATTCACAGCAAATTGTTTTAGTTTTAAATAAAATAGATTCGGCAGGGAAAATGTAACAGCTCCAAAGATTCTTCTGTGATCATATTTTCTCTGAATGCAAAATTAATTATATAGGTTTATTAGAATTGTAAAGAGTGCATTTTTGATGAAGATGATGTATTTCAGCTAACATATTTTTATAAGGCAGAAAAGATCGTTCTATTTAGCGTTAATTAGGTCTATATTTGAACATTGTTCTGTCATAAAGTCCCCTCAAACTGCAACTCATCTTGAAAAGTTTGTTGCTATTTAAAAGCGGGCCATTAAATGGATCAATAGTGAACCCTACTCCAGTAATTATAATGACGATAAACTTGCTACAGAGGAAAAAAAATTAAATATTCTCCCTGTTGAACAGAAGTTTATTTATAACGATCTTATGACCTTCTATGAAATAGTGAATAGCATAATTCCAGTATCACTCCCTACTTATATAGTCCTATCCAGTCCAGAGGGCACCCGATACACTAGGTACATAGCAACACATAGCTACACATAGCAACACATAGCAACACATAGCAACACAAAGCTACACATAGCAACACATAGCAACACATAGCAACACATAGCTACACATAGCAACACATAGCAACACATAGCAACACATAGCAACACATAGCAACACATAGCTACACATAGCTACACATAGCTTGGTGACGTCACTAATTGTACGTCACTGATTGGTGACGTCACTGATTGTACGTCACTGATTGGTGACGTCACTGATCGGTGACGTCACTAATTGTACGTCACTGATTGGTGACGTCACTAATTGTACGTCAGTGATTGGTGACGTCACTAATTGTACGTCACTGATTGGTGACGTCACTGATTGTACGTCACTAATTGTACGTCACTGATTGGTGACGTCACCAATCAGTGACGTCACTAATTGTACGTCACTCATTGGTGACGTCACTAATTGTACGTCACTGATTGGTGACGTCACTAATTGTACGTCACTGATTGGTGACGTCACTGATTGATGACGTCACTGATTGGTGACGTCACTAATTGTACGTCACTGATTGGTGACGTCACTAATTGTACGTCACTGATTGGTGACATCATTAATTGTACGTCACTGATTGGTGACGTCACTGATTGATGACGTCACTGATTGGTGACGTCACTGATTGATGACGTCACTGATTGGTGACGTCACTGATTGGTGATGTCACTAATTGTACGTCACTGATTGGTGACGTCACTAATTGTACGTCACTGATTGGTGACGTCACTGATTGGTGACGTGATCAGCAGACGTGGCTCCCAATATTAATAATCCGTTACATTGTCGCATAAATTATGATGTTGAACATGATTGTGGAGAGATTGATACATTATACGAAATGGACGATAGATTTTATTATGATTCACATTGTATTACCTACCACAGATTTCACGACTATCATTTTTTTTAATGTAAAAACTTATGTAAATATGTAAGCAACCATTCGTTCACATGGCTTTTGTTCTTCAGACTTTTAACTGCATATCACCACACAGGCTACAGTGTCCGGTCATTTAACTTTTAAAATTTAAATAATTGATAATGGCAACCCCTCCATTTTGTGCTCCGTAGCGCCCCAAGAATGGTGAATGAAGAAACATTATTTGATATTTTGACCAACAACACGAAACGATCGTTAATTGTAACTTTGTAATTTAAAATTTTAAAAGGCAATGCCTACGAGTATAAAGGTTGATGGAAATCTAGCGTCCGCTAACCGGCGCAATTCTTGTTTGTGTACAAATAGGCATAACCTCACTACAGCACCATAAACAATTATACCATTTTAAATAGATTGATTGAACTGCATTCACAAATGAAAAGCTCCCATCGCCTTTGGCAGATTAAATTTCTATGATTTGTCCTTGTAACAGAAAACATAATTCAGCTTGTATTTTGTAAGGAACTTAAATACTTATTCAATAATGTTATTAACTAATAAGTTACCATTGTTTGAAGGAACGCTATGAAGTTATTAACTAATAAGTTACCATTGTTTGAAGGAACACTATGAAGTTATTAACTAATAAGTTACCATTGTTTGAAGGAACACTATGAAGTTATTAACTAATAAGTTACCATTGTTTGAAGGAACACTATGAAGTTATTAACTTATAAGTTACCATTGTTTGAAGGAACACTATGAAGTTATTAACTAATAAGTTACCATTGGTTGAAGGAACACTATGAAGTTATTAACTTATAAGTTACCATTGTTTGAAGGAACACTATGAAGTTATTAACTAATAAGTTACCATTGTTTGAAGGAACACTATGAAGTTATTAACTTATAAGTTACCATTGTTTGAAGGAACACTATGAAGTTATTAACTAATAAGTTACCATTGTTTAAAGGAACACTATGAAGTTATTAACTAATAAGTTACCATTGTTTGAAGGAACACTATGAAGTTATTAACTAATAAGTTACCATTGTTTGAAGGAACACTATGAAGTTATTAACTAATAAGTTACCATTATTTGAAGGAACACTATGAAGTTATTAACTAATAAGTTACCATTATTTGAAGGAACACTATGAAAACAGCAGAAGATGTCCTCCTTGTCCTCCAGTGAATCTAAAATCTCCCTCTCCCCTCCTATAGAGAGGATTGAAGTTCTGAGCTCCCCTGTTAGCAAGAGACCCAGATCTTTATACTCACAGATCTCTACTAACAAAAGTTAGTTAATTAGCCAAATACTCTACTAACAAAAGTTAGTTAATTAGCCAAATACTCTACTAACAAAAGTTAGTTAATTAGCCAAATACTCTACTAACAAAAGTTAGTTAATTAGCCAAATACTCTACTAACAAAAGTTAGTTAATTAGCCAAATACTCTACTATCAAAAGTTAGTTAATTAGCCAAATACTCTACTATCAAAAGTTAGTTAATTAGCCAAATACTCTACTAACAAAAGTTAGTTAATTAGCCAAATACTCTACTAACAAAAGTTAGTTAATTAGCCAAATACTCTACTAACAAAAGTTAACGACTTAACGAGCAATGTGCTACTGATTTTTAGACACTATTATATTATAAACTAGTTGATATGTGCTTGTAACCATGGTAACTGTGCTACTAATTTATTGACAACTGCTATTTTTCAGATGCTGCTCTGAAATGTCAGTTTTGTTTGGGTAAGTAACCAATAACCATGGTAACCATGGTAACTATGGCAACCATGGTCACTTTTTTAAACTCTATTTCTTGACTCACATTTTATCATTCCACTCTAGGTTTATCTTTCCTTATCTTTCATTTTATCGGGGGTGTAGACATTTGTACATGTCTTATTATTCACTACCGGCCCTCAGGGCCTGACTTTCCCGCCGTCCTGAGTACTGCAGTGCTGGTCGCGTGACCTCGGACACGCTACACGTGATCCCACGTGACCAGTAGCGCGGTAAGCGGGCAGCGGGAAAAGCTTGAAGGCGGCAGTTGTGTTTCGAAGAGATTTAGTTTGGAGGAGTTGTGGTTTGGAAGAGTAGAGTTTCGGGTGATTTTAAGGACTGAAAGTTTTGTGCAACTACTCTAAGTTCGATTATGCTTGGTTATTTAGCAGGTTAGCGTATAGCTTCTAGTCCCTGATCTGATTTCTAGCTGCTCTTTTCGTTTGACCTCTCTGCTCCTCGGCTGATAGGATAGCTTAGATCGTCCTGGAGGCCCCTATCATCTGCCTGGTAACCATGGTAACTGTCACTACAACATCCTCCTTTGTCACACTATTATTATAGACCCATGTAAACTGTTGTTTTAAAATTTCACAAGGTGTTACTCAATCCGTTAGTTTCACTTAAATTCCACTACGTTATCTACACAATTAATGTCACATTTTTCCCACTATTTTTCAATCATGGTACATGAACCAACAACTTAAATTTCACCCGAAACAATTCTGCAAATAATCAGCTTTTTGAGAGTTATCTGATGACTGATCTAGGAGATAAATTAAGGGTGTTTTAATATTTAAAGCAAGATTTTTCAGAGTGTTTTGATCTATACGATATTTTTGATCACAAGGATGGACTATCATCCTACGTAACAGTGAGCGTCAGCAATGATTCCGGTAATAACCATGGCAACCATGGTAGCCTAGGTAAAAGCCCTGGTAAAAAGTGGGCTGTTATTGGTCGGACCTACATTGTTGAGGTGAGTACTGAGTACTGCGTAAATACGATGGTTTATGTTCTTTTTAAATGTCTGACTTTTAAAATAAAACAATTACTATACGTGTTGAAGATTGAATATAATAATTTTATGTATCGTTAGAGTAGCAACCATGGCAACCATATTAAGGGTACATTTAATGATATTTTCAGAACGATTGTAACCCTCAATTCCACGATAAAGAGTTTGATATAAACGATGTGGTAGTAGACGCAGGATTAGTCCTCATTCAGACCTACGCTCTACATCCCGCTAATAGTATGGTTCGTAATACTACTTAGTAATAATACTTACTACTTTTAATTATACTACTTAGTAATAATACTTATTACTTAATAATACTACTTATTAATAATACTTACTACTTTTAATAATACTACTTAGTACTATTCTGGGCCCCCTACTCTTCGTCATCTATATAAACGACCTCCCCGGAATCTCAGACCTGGCCAAGTTCATACTTTACGCCGATGATGCAAATATTATAGTCACGGGCCATAACGAGGAAGAAATTCAAAGTAAGCTCTCTATGATTGCAACACTTCTAGTGAATTGGGTAAGTAGCAACGGGCTTTCTTTAAACCTGAAGAAAACCCACTATATGGTCTTCAGTAACCGTAAAGTAGATTATTCCAAAATAAGTCTCAACATATCTGGAACAAACATTGAACGGGTTACTGAGGCACGGTTTCTGGGTGTTATAATTGATGAGAAACTAACATGGTGTAAACATATCACAGCGGTAAGATTAAAAATGAGTAGGTACATAGGCATCATGTTCAAATTAAAACGACATCTGCCCCTAAAAGTGCGACTACAACTCTACCATAGTTTTATTGAGGCACATGTTAACTACTGCTCGTTAGCCTGGGGATTCGCGGCAAAATGTCACATTGAGACATTATTCCGTAAACAAAAGCAAGGAATGCGGATGGTTATGCCAGGATATGTAAATTACTTTTACAAAGACGGCAAATTGCCAGCTCACACCAGAGAAGCATTCTGCAAATTTGAGATTTTGACAATACACGGCATCATCGTAAAGAATGCGCTTACATTAATGCACCGCATGAAGCACTTTCCTAACACAGTACCTGTATCAATTAGAAATTTGTTTCCAGATAACATACCCACGCATGGTTCAAATCATGAGAACAGTAGCGAATGGCTAGATACGTACAATAACCGATGTTTCAAAGCATCCATCTTTTTTAAAGGACCTTTACTAGCTCTAACAGACACCAACAAGAACATCACGTCCCTACCTAGCTTATTTTCAATAAATATTTACAAATCGAACGCAAAACGCGTGCTTCTTGAGCAACAGTCAACACTAGCTAACTCAGAGGACAGCTGGCCAGCATTTCTGGTACACAACGTACCTGGTTTGAGGAAGTCCAATAGATGAGGGATGATTGAGTAATACAGCGACCAATAATCGCTAAATCATGACATCATATCATAACATAACATAACATAGGACGACAGCAAACACACAATAAACGAGCAGTAATAAACAACGTTCGCTTAATGGACTGACATATTTCAGCATATTTTTCACTGCCAAAGCGCTGATAACAGCAAGCCTTACCCCACTCCGCGCGGCTTTTTAATGCACAAAATCTTAAAGATAATTCTCGCGATAAAATTTTCATCGTCACGCTTGAAAATTTCTAGAAATTAGAATAGCCGTATATTATAACAAACTATAGCAAGCAGAATTAAAAGATAAAAGGTTCTGGGACTTAAGTGGTACAAATAAAATGAAAGGCATGCTGATGCTAATCATGCTCACGTACTGTAATGTGTCGAGAGTTTTTTTTTAAATTTTTTACTATTTGACAAAATAATTGATCTTTTTAGTGTGAGTGTGATTTCAACTTTGAGTTTGAAAATATTTTGAAACGACTTTCGATATTATTGATTATTATATTATATTTAATAAACTGTCTCAAAGCCCTTAGAGGTGGCTCTATACGGGTCTTTACAACAACATAATAATACTTACTACTTAGTAATACTACTTAGTAATAATACTTACTACTTTTAATAATACTACTTAGTAATAATACTTACTACTTAATAATACTACTTAGTAATAATACAACTACTTTTAATAATACTGCTTAGTAATAATACAACTACTTCTAACAGTCTGGTGTGATGTAGTATTAGTATTAGTTGACCCCCCGACAATTGACCCCCTGAAGCGACAATTGACCCCCCGACAATATAATTTAATAAAATTAACCCTAACCCTAACCCTAACCCTAACCCTAGCCCTAACCCTAACCCTAACCCTAACCCTAACCCTAACCCTAACCCTAACCCGATCAATTGAACCCAATGTAATTGTACATGGGGGTCAATTGTCGGGGGGTCAATTGTCGTACTAAACCCTAGATTTCGCGACAATTGACCCCAGTGCAATTACATAGGGGGTCAATTGTCGGGGGGTCAATTGTCGGGGGGTCAATTGTCGGGGGTCAATTGTCACGGTACCATAATAATCAATGCTGAGTTGATAAAGAGCACTATAATTATATAATCTTCCTCAGACC